AGTCAGTTGGCATATATGGTTATCTTGAATACCTGACATTTGAGTTTAGTTGTTACCCTCCTAAGAATTAAATAATATATTTTTAAGGCACAAAACTGGGACTGCTAAAATTCTGATTTTAAATAGCCATAGGTATCTGGGCCAGATTTAAACATATTATTCTTAGTGGGAAATGATTGTGTCTTACAGTTCCCTTCAATACTCTTGTTCACAAGCCAGCAGAACTCTGTTCTTTTTGATTGGAAAATGTAAATCATGCTTAAGAATTGTTCCAAAAAGAGTCTTAAGCTGAGTCCTTGGATGCAAAGTTGTAGCTCACTGCAGATTCTGATTGTTGAGTTACAACTCACTGAGAATCAGGGGTTTAAAAGGGAAGCACTGACAAACCTTTAAGCCAGGGCAGCACAAATGGCGCCTTGATAATTTATAGTCTACAGGCAGCTCTTGGGTTTATTATCACAATGACAAATGCACTGTCATTGTTAATAGGATATTTCCCAGCAAGGACTTCTTGTTATGCAAGCCAGGTTCGGTATGTCATGCAGCATGATAGCAATAAAGTCTACAAGAATTTGTAATGAACTTCAATTACTAATAGATTATGGTTAATGGGAAATATGTGCAGTAAAGATATGGGTTTTTATATGCGCCTTCTGGTATTCTACAAGGCAATGATTTATGCTACAATTTATGTTAACATTTTCTGCTATGAAAAGGCCCAATTTGGTAGAAAGCCACTTCATCCATAACAAATATTCGAGATAATTTTGCACATAATATAAATGAAAGTATAAAATTAGATATTAATCTATTTCATTTTAGCATTTTTATTTTTATTGAAAATGGAGACTTTTTTCTCTCCTGAGTAGTACTGTTGGTTAAAAATTCTTGATATAAAATGAAAGCATGAGATATATTGATGTCTTTCAGTAAAGTGTAACATTTTGTATGTTAATTTCTTTAACTTCCTGCTGTAATTAAGGACCCAGTTAAGATTTGATATATGCTGGTGTCTAGCTTATGTATTTTTAAATTAAGAAAACCCACAAGTATTCATGTTAACATGAATTTATAATCCACATCATGATTCCTATCACTATGGAGATTGACATCTGTGATAATAAATATGGAAGTACATATATAAATGATTTATGTGTGTGTGTGTGTGTGCGTGTATGTGGCATAAACACAAACAGATACACATATATATAGTCTATACACATATATATTGACAAAAACAGACAAAACTGGAAAATGCAAACCATAGCTTAACCAAGTATAGAACCAAAAACTGCAATAAAATTAAACTAGAAAAAATGAAATAATTCACCAAAAGACTTTGAGTTAAGTGATAATGAATTTAAAATTATGAACATAGAGTCGGCACAGTCTTGGGAACCCACTGAAAACATTTTATATCTATAAAATGTGTGTGTGTGTGTGTGTGTGTGCATAAAAGCTAAGATGACTTTTAAAAAGATGAATTTTAAAAAAGCTTGATCCCTAAAATCAGAATACATATTTTTAATGTTCTTCCTTTTCTTTTAATCCCTGAAATCATTATTTCTAAAGGTCCTATATGATATCATGCAAATGGCAGGTATACAAATAATGAATACATTTGTACTCACTATTGTCCTTACTTAAATTTTGAACTGTGATTTTTCCCTCTGACTCATCGCGGTGCTAAGAATGATGAGCGGCCTCAGTGTCCAAGAATTAAACTCTTGGACTCTGGAGAAGAGACCCAGTTCTGCCACTTCTTAGCTTAGACTGTGTGCAAGTCCATCTAAACCTACCAAACCTCAGAGTTTTCATCTGAAAAATTAGATTAGTAAAAAATGCCTTTTTATTTTGAAAATTTAATGAAATAATGTCAAAAAATTTGCATAGTGCCTGACAAATAATGAGTGCATAATTCATTTTAAATATTATTTTTATTTGTATCGTTTAGAGAAATACTGGTCTAGACATGTCAGTGAATGATTAATATATGTATAATTATTGCTATCATTATTATTAATATTCCTTACAAGCTTCCATATCTTGTAGCTTTTGAGGCTCTAGTGAGCCAGAGAATCACCTGGTTGATTGATAAAAAGGCAGATTTCTGGGCCACACACACAAATCTAGAGTAGGACCAAGAAATTTGCATATCTAACAATCCCCCCAGGTGATTCTTCTGCCCACTGAAATTTTAAAAGCAGTGCATTGGTACAATTACAGAATTCGTTGATACTCATTTCTCTGTAAATTGTTGAAACAGAACTAAAATACCATGACTGACAAGCTCATCTGCTAGGTGAGATTTGACATCCTGCTGATTAAACATCTAGAATCCAAGTGATTGATAAAATATGTACACTTCTCATCTTGATATTTTGGGCCTATTTAGGGAAAAATGTTTTTTCCTCAAAAATATCTGTTGACTCTCCTATACGCAATATAAACTGTGTTGTATTTTTCAAAAGTTTTTCTCTTATTTTCTCAATGTTCTTTTTGGTCTACCTTACAGATTAGAAAAAAGATTCTGAAAAAGATGGGAAAGACTTGGATTAGATTAACCTGCTTAGATTAGGGCATTATCTTACTCCAAGTAAATTAGCATTGTACACAGAGGATAGAATGTTGTTTCTCTCTCGTATAACAGTCTAAGGATAGGCAATAAACACATCCCTGTTGTGGTTAACTCTGCTCCATGAAGACTCAGCTCCTTCCACCTTTTGCTCTGAATTTCCTATGACATTGCTGCTTTTTCTGCACATTCTGAGATAGCACACTACCACATCCACATTCTAGTCATTCAGAAGGAGAAAAAGTGTGTGGGTTATGTCAGCATAACCCACACACTGTGTTGCTTCTTCTCACATCCCATTGGCTGGAACTTAGTCATATGACTATATGTAGTTCAAAGGGAGTATGGGAAATGTAGTCTTCATCTGGGGAGCCATGTACCTCATTAAAAATTAGACATTATGTTACCAGAGAAGGCAAGCATTGCTTTTGGGAAATAGTCTCTGCACATTACCTACGTTTCTCCAGACAGCTGGAGTTACATAGACCTTATCATTTGCCATTACCAAGTCTCTTTTGTTATGGATACTCAATAACTGATAATATGTTTACACAAGACCAAAAGACTAGATCAATTCACTGTAATTGTCCTCCCCTGCCCAACAGGGCAGGCCAAAGTTATATAGGAGTTGCCTTTTGAGGGTAGTACATTGTAGGATCAAAGTTGACTAAGTCGAACAGGTGCTGTCTTTGTATCAGAGTCACCAAGGGAGATCATTCCCTGGGAAATAGAGTGAAAATTCATCAGCTAGGAGGTAATACCTATAAAGAAGCTTGGAGGGTTAGGAGAGAAAGGAACAGAGAATCAACAAGGATCAACATTAAGGGCAGCCAGGATGTGGTGGTTAAGAACATGGTCCCTAGGGTTCATCTGTGTGGGTTGGAATTCTGGTTCCAAGAGCTGTGAGAATGTGGGAGAAGTGATACAAGCAACTTACACCTTGGCTTTCTTCTTTGTGAAATTGGGATAAAAATAGTTACTAATTCATAAGCTTGTTAGGAGGATTAGATTAAATAATGTAGCACAGTGTCTAATACATTGTAACTCCTCAATAAATATTAACTATTATTAACATGGAGTCCTTAAAATTCTTTAAGTTCTGTTTTATTTATTTCTCCATGATCAACCCTTTTTCAAGCTGGAAATCTATAAATTAGACAGACCAAAGTAAACACAGGGAGCCAATGTTTACTCCACCATTCCTAGGACACACAGATGGGAAACCCATGGGTTGCCAACCTTGCCCAAACAAATCTGTCCCATGAGGTTTCTTCTGAAGCAGTAATCTCTGGCTCATTTCCTTGTCTCACTTTCTTGGTATTTTTTAAAAAATGAGAAAAGTCCAAACTATTCTCCCAATCAGACCTGGAGAAATAAAAAAACTAATAAAAATAGTAATAAACAAACCACAAAAACTGTAAAGCACCTCCCATTAAAAGCCATTGTGAAGTACATTAAACCTCTTGGAAAGCATGCAGAATGGTAGCAATATCTTGATAAATAAGCCAAGGCTGCAATGTGCTTGTGCTGATAATAAGTAGCATGGAAGAACTGTCTCTTTTACAAAACCCTGGGATTTATGTCCAGTCTGCCTGCATTGGAAACTAGAGAATTAATTCACGAAATCCATCTATCAACACAGGCAGAGAGAGGAATCACAGTGTAGAAATGAAATTAGGATGAAATTAGTTAGCTGTAGGACATAAATAGGGGTACTGACATTTTCCTACATCTTCTGTATCAAATGTCTTTGGAGAACTCACCAAGCTTGGACTGTAGTTGATGGCCTCTATGATTTATTTCAACATTTTCTACCCTAGGCAGGTTGTTTGCAAAGTCCTTCAAGTATCATTAAGACAAATCAGGAAACAGATAATTCTTCAAGAGAAGAATATTATCATGGGAAGACACTGCTTATACAGAATATCCACAATGTGTCATTGCAGCCTCCAGAACAACGCATCACCCTATTTATTAATCCATTGCTACAGAGATTATGGCAATCTGACATGGAGCCCTAATGAATTTTTGGCACATTTGGAAATTGTGACTGTTGTTGCCCAGGGAGCCTCTTAAATCAACTCCCACCCCTTTACTGCAGTTGCCTTTTCACAGCGTATATCACATTGAGAAATGGATTACACAACCCATAGCTTTAACTACCCTGCATTAGTTGATTGCATTTTATGGATGTGTTTTGCACAGTGTATGAATCATAGGGGAGCTAGGATATGAATGACAGATAATTTAAACATGAAATTAGTAATGCCTGGGACCTGGTAAGAATAGAGGTAGAAAAATAAAGGCAAAAGTCAAGGCAGTGGTTGGGAGAACCCATGTATTTGGGACTTGGCTAAAGCAAACTTACTAGTGAAGCATAGTGTTTAGAAAGAGTATTATTTTACCATTTTTTTATAAATATTACCCTTTGGCCATCTGATGCTTCTTCTTCCCTTCTGTAATAAGATCGTTCCCCTTCTGTTTGCAGACGGACCTTTGAGAGCAAAAGGAATTTAGTTCTATGAAGTCTTATCTTTTAAGACAAGCTACATCTAAGATGAAAGAGCATATTAACTTAATTTGCCCACTGTACAGACGCATAGTGTGAAGTCAGAAGGTATAGGGTCTAGCTTACACCCTGTTACAAACTTGTTTTGAGAACTGGGCTAAATCATTTAACTTATTAGTACCTCAGCCTCTTCACCTTCAAAATGGGATAATAATTATCAGTCTTTCAAATTAAGTAATAATCAAATGAGATGTTATATGCTGTTCTATCTAGGACATCTGGGTGGCAAGTAGATACCCATGAGGATACTGTGAGGAAAAGGGTATTTGTTTCCAGGACAGACATAGACAGGGATTGGAAATGGCAAGGAGCATTACCTGAGACAGCCAAAGCTCATCTCTCATTCAAATGCCACGTAGTTTTACATTCCTGGCATCTCTCATTCCTGTGTGTGCTCCATTCCTGTCTTTCTAACTAACATCCTAATGAGGGCCTCCCCCATATGGCCCACAATGGCTACTCTGGATTGACTCTATCTTAAGACCTTTCATCTCAGCTACTACAGAAAGCCATCTAGCTTCCTGAAGGTCCTTCAAATATGTTGAGCTCATTCCCACAACAGGGCCTCTGTACTTGCCTGTCCTTCTTTCTGAAAAGCTCTTCCACCAGCTCTTTGCATGCCTTCCCTTGCACTTCATTTAAACCTCTGTTCAGACCCCACCCCTTTAAAGATGACTTCCCTGACCATTCTAACTAATATTTTACCCTCTGGTACTCTTTTCTCCTTATCTACTTTTATTTTCTTAATAGTACCTATAGTTATCTGACATATATCTATTTTTCTGTCTGCCCTTCCACTAGAAATCAGGCCAGTGGCATTGGGAACTTAAGTTTTCTTACTGCAGTACTGCTCTTGTTTAGAACAATGCCTCACACAATAAATATTGGTTGAATGTATATTTCATGAATGAGTGACAGTACAAATGCCAAATCTGCCCTGATTCATAATTTAAAAAATTTTGTAAAGATTTTATTTATTTATTTGAGATAGAGCAAAAGAGAGAGCATGAGCAGGGGGGAGGGGCAGAGGGAGAGTGAAAAGCAGGCTTCCCACTGAGCAGGGAGCCCAACCCAGGTTCCATATCAGGGCCCTGAGCTCATGATCTGCCTGAGCTGGAAGCAGGTGCTTAACCCACTGAGCCATGCAGGTACCCCTATAATTTCAAAATTTTTAAGAAAAGAATTAAAAGGACCCATTTCATATTTTTCAAGAGAAACCACTCCAATTTCTGGCCAACCAGTGAGTTGCCTTCTTGTGTTAGCTGCCCACCCATTGGTCTATTCAGACAGGGTTGAGATGGGGCCATTTCAGACAGTACAGAGCACAGGCACTTATAGCTTCTGATGGGCAGATATCCCAAAGTGGGTCTAGAGTGGCCCAACCCTGATGGCACCTTGGGCTTCATGAAGCACCAGCTAGGCTCCAGTAGACACAGAGATCCCATCAACCTTTGGCTAGAAATGTCAAGGTTATGAATTATTAAATTGACTTCTCTAGGTACTAGCTCTCTGGACTCAGTCATAATTTTCTTTAATTTTAATTTTTTTGTCTGCTCTGCATTTTATATTAAATTTTATGAGCAATTAATAATAATCATTGCTAATATTTTTGAAATACCCTGAGTCTGCCATCTTATGAGTGTATTTATGTAGCTTAACTCCTGGAATCCTTATGACCATCCTCTGAGGTAGAAAGGATGATTATATTCATTTTGAAGGTGAAGAAATGTGAGAATTGAGAGAAAAATCAGTTACCCGAGGTCTCTTAGTGAATAACTAACAGAACTGGGGTTTAAACCCAGAGGTCTGGTTTTGCTTCTTCATCTAACAAAGCTTTATGTTATACATTCATTTCCCTGTTGGGTTTAGCAAAAAGTCCTTATTTCCTTAGAAATAACATTCTGATGGGGTAAACACATCTAAATATGCCTTTAAAATGACAAAACATTCTGAGTAAGCTATTCTTATTAAGCAAAAATTTAAAATACATTAAATATACATTTAAGTATGTGCAGTTTCACAGACTTATTATCTAGTATTCTTTGTGAACTTTGAATCTGTTTTTATGGAGATATACCAGAAATCATTACTTTTTTTTGCCCAGTTTGGCAGAATTTTTGATTAAGAAAATTGCCAATTTTTATAATGAGCAAATATCAGGGCCCTGTAATACTGTGTTCTATTTAATGTCTTCTCTGGATTTTGGAAATACTCTCTAACAACAAAATCAAAAAAGTGTCAGAAATACTTTAAATAAGTTAAGGTTTATACAAACACTAAGGGCAATCATCAATTTTATTGGGTTCTTGAGCTATGCTTACAGTAAAAATATAAAGACACAGGTAAAAAAAAAAAGAATATAAACACATAGATATAAGGTGAATGCTTGAGAAAGAAAGAATTCACTAAACACCCATTACTTAGGATCCATATTCATGGCACCCTCTTAAACACTGGGAAATGTATAATTTTGTATAAAACAACATTCCAAATTCATGTTACAGGCTTTTTTCTGAACCAAAATTGTGAACTTGAAAAGTCAGCAGTTTCATTCCTTGTACCTATATAACTTTCCACCACTGCCTGGTAGGTACGAATGGGGATTTTTTAAATATATATATATATATATAAAGGCTCAAGTGTTCCCATCACATTAACAAATTGAAGCAGAGAATTTATCTTTTTTTCTTTTCTTTTTCTTTCTTTCTTTCTTTCTTTTTTTTTTTTTTTTTTTAGTAAGGGATATTTATAGGATGTTTTTAGTAAGGGATTCTTTTTAGTAAGGGATGTTTATAAGAAAGGCCATTTTTATAAATATCCATCTATGGAGTGCTATTCTTTTCTATCTGTAAGTAGCATGTTAATTCTATTCTTTGTTTTGCACGTGTGCTTTTCAGAGAAGGCCATAATTCGCTCTATAGAGTCTTGATTTCTATCCTTTTGGGGAAGTTGTTCAAGGTCGTCATGGCCCATATCCATCAATTATGCCTGCCTCACAGATGTCCTTTGTCAGTAGTACATATCAGTATGATTAATGGTTCAGGGTTCATATTCAGGAATCTGATTGGATAACTGTCATTTCATTTGTTATCACGGATAATTCAGAAAACATTGATGAAGTTGTCTAAGAAAAGAGGGCAATGCAAGCCAGTTTTACTTATAATGAACAACAAAGCTTGGTCTTTTGTTAGCAAAAATAGGTTGTGCACTCCAGTATACTTCCTGGACTTCAGCTAGGAGATTGGGGAGGGGAATTAACTCTATAGGTATTTCCTGCAACATTAAGTGGTAGTTCTATAAGATGAAAAAGTGAATACCACACTATGTTGAAGGCTTCATAACTGGGAGAATGAGGGTTCATGAGCTCTTCAGTAAAACCTAACTTTTATTCTGTATGTAACAGAAAGTAGTAATTATTCACTTACTTTAAATATAGCTTCATTTATTAATTATAAATTATTGGATTATTTACTTATTTAAAGAGAAGTACTGTTTTTATAAGAATGATAGATGTTTAGGGGTGCCTGGGTGGCTCAGTTGGTTGGGCGACTGCCTTCAGCTCAGGTCATGATCCTGGAGTCCTGGGATCAAGTCTTGCATCGGGCTCCCTGCTTGGCGGGGAGTCTGCTTCTCCCTCTGACCCTCCCCCCTCTCATGTGCTCTCTCTCTCTCTCTCTCTCTCTCTCATTCTCGCTATCTCAAATGAATAAATAAATAAAATCTTTAAAAAAAATGATAGATGTTTGCCATTAAAGATAAAATAAAGCACATTCAATAAGTTTTTTAAAATCCTCTGAAATCCTGTCCAAGGATGACTCTTAGTCTTAAAGGAGATCTTAGACAGAGGAACATAAGAGACGTTAAGGTGTTGAAATAGATTCAGGGTTTTCTGGAAATTTGGTAAATGATAGAAAGTGCATTTTAAGTCAGTGGAAATCCATCCCCCCCAGTAAATTGTATTGATATAGCCACCTATCTTTTTGAGGGTAAACATTTTGTTCTCATTTTAACTCCTTCGACTTATGTAAATTTCTTTTTTTATTAAGTTTTTAAATTTTAATTCCAATATAGTTAACATACAGTGTTATATTAGGTTCAGGTGTACAGTATAGTGATTCTGTAATTCTATACATTACTCAGTTCTCATAATAATAAGTGTACTCTTAATCCCCATCACCTATTTCACCCATCCCCCCACCCTCTGGTAACCATCAATTTGTTCTCTATAGTTAAGAGTCTGTTTCCTTGGTTTTTCTTTCTCTCTTTTTTCTTTGTTCCTTTGCTTTGTTTTTTAAATTCCACATGTGAGTGAAATCATATGGTATTTGTCTTTCTCTGATTTATTTCACTTAGCGTTATACTCTCTAGCTCCATCCATGTTGTTGCAAGTGGTAAGATTTCATTCTTTTTTATGGCTAAATAATATTCCATTACATATATATTTACACACACATACATATACACACACACACACATGTATATATAAAATCACCTCTTCTTTATCCATTCATCAATCGATGGACACTTGGGATGCTTCCATATCTTGACTATTGTAAATAATGCTGCAATAAACATAGGGATGCATGTATCTCTTTGAATTAGTGTTTTTGTATTTTGAGGATAAATACCCTGTAGTACAATTACTATATTGTAGGGTAGTTCTGTTTTAAACTTTTTGAGGAAACGCCATACTCTCTTCCACAGTGGGTACACCAGTTTGCACTCCCACCAACAGTGTACTGTGGTTCCTTTTTCTCTGCATCCTTGCCAAAACTTGTTGTTTCTTTTAGCCATTCTGACAGGTGTGAGGAATATCTCTTTGTAGTTTTGATTTGCATTTCCCTCATGATGAAGTATGTTGAGCATCTTTTCATGTGTCTGTTGGCCATCTGTATGTCTTCTTTGGAGAAATATCTGTTCATATCTTCTTATTTTTTAATTGCTTTTTTTTGGTGTAGAGTTGTATAATTTCTTTATATATTTTGGATACTAACCCTTTATCAGATACATCATTTGCAAATATCTTCTCCCATTCAGTAGGATGGCTTTGAATCTTGTTGGTTGTTTCCAGTTTTGTTGTTCAGAAGCTTTTTATTTTAATGTAGTCTCAATAGTTTATTTTTACTTTGATTTTCCTTGCCCAAAGGAGACATATCTAGAAAAATGTTGCAACAGCTGATGTCAGAGAAATTACTGCTTGTGCTCTGTTTTAGGATATTTATGGTTTCAGGTCTCACATTTAGGTTCTTAATCCATTTTGAGTTTATTTTTGTGTATGGTGTAAGAAAGTGGTCCAGTTTCATTCTTTTGTATGTTGCTGTCCAGCTTTCCCAACACCATTTTTTGAACAAACTGCCTTTCCCATTGCATATTCTTGTCTCCTTTGTTGAAGATTAATTGACCATGTACTTATGGGTTGATTTCTAGGTTTTCTATTCTGTTCCATTGATCTATGTGTCTGTTTTTATGACAGTACCATGCTGTTTTGATCACTGTGTTTTGTAATATAACCTGAAGTCCAGAATTGTGATGCTTCCAGTTTAGTTTTTCTTTTTCAAGATTGCTTTGGCTATTGGGGTCTTGTCTGGTTCCATACAAGTTTTAGAATTGTTTGTTCTAATTGTTTGAAAAATACTGTTGGCATTTTGATAGGGATTGCACTAAACGTATAGATTGTTTTGGGTACTATGGACATTTTAACAATATTTGTTCTTCCAGTTCATGCACATGGAATGTCTTTCCATTTCTTTGTGTCATTTTCAATTTCTTTCATCAAATGTTTTATAGTTTTCAGAGTACAGGTATTTTATTGGTTTTGGTGTAATTGTAAATTGAATTAATTTCTCTTTCTGCTCCTTAATTATTAGTGTGTAGAAATGCAACAGATTTTTGTACATTGATTTTGTATCCTGCAACTTTCCTGAATTAATTTATCAGTTCTAGTAATTTTTTTGGTGGGATCTTCAGGATATATATATTATCATATTATATATTATATACATATATAATCATGTCATCTGCAGCAGTCCCTTTTAACATTTCTTGTAGGGCTGGTTTGGTGGTCATGAAGTCCCTTAGTTTTTGTCTGAGAAATTCTTTATCCCTCCTTCTATTCTGAATGCTAGCATTTCTGGATAGAATATTCTTGGCTGCACATTTTTCCATTCAGCACTTTGCACATATGCCACTCTCTTCTGGCCTGCAAAATTTCTGCTAAAAAATCCACTGATAGCCTTATGGAGTTTTCCTTGTAAGTAATTTTCTTCTTTTCTCTTGCTGCTTTAATTTCTTTTTCTTTATCACTTCTTTTTGCCATTTTAATTGTTATGTGTCTTTGTGTGGACTTTCTTGGGTTAATTTTGTTGGGGGATCTCTGTGCCTCCTAGATCTGGGTTTGGTTCCTTCCCCAGATTCAGGAAGTTTCAGCTATTATTCCCTCAAATAGATTTTCAGCCCCCTTTTCTCTCTCTTCTTAGAGATCCCTATAATGCAAATGTTACTGTGCTTGATGGAATCACTGAGTTCCCTAAGTCTATTCTCATTCTGTATAATTGTTTTCTTTTACCTCCTCAGTTTGATTGCTTTCCATTACTGTCTTCCATGTTGATAATTTTTTCTTCTCTTTCCTCTAGCCTACCATTGATTCCATCTAGTGTATTTTTAATTTCATTTATTGTGTTCTTCATCTATGCTTGGTTCTTTTTTATCTCTTTGTTAAGGATCTCACTGATGCATCCACTCATTTCCCAAGTCCAGTGACTATCTTTATGATCATTACTTTAAATTCTCTAACAGGCATATTACTTATATTAATTTCATGTAGGTCTCTTGCTGTGGTTTTGTCCAGTTCTTTCATTTGGAACATATTCCTCTGTCTCCTCATTTTGTCTAACTCTCTATGTCTGTTTCTGTGTGTTGGGAAAGTCAGCTATGTCTCCTACTCTTGAAAGTAGTGGGTGGGGCACACACTTTTAATAAGGTGGTGCTGGTCCTCTTCCATAGGGTATATGCAGTTGCTGTGAAGACCAGACCTGGCCAGTGATGCTCTGCAAAGCCCACATGGGTAGGGAGTGCAATTTTAACAAGGTGTGTGTGGAGGTGACCTGCTGTTTGGAACAAGGCCCCACAAAACACACAGGAGACTCGGTGTTGGCAAGATTTATGCCAGTCTTCTAGGGGAGGAGACTGCAGTGCAGTCAAGTGACTGGGAAGGACAGATCTGCCGATGTGAGGGGCTTAGTGTAAGCAAGTTAGGTAAGGAGTGTGGGCTCTGCTGGTTTCTGAAGGTGGTGAAGCATTTATGCTGACGGGTGGGAGATGGAAATGGCAGCTCCTTTGTTTCTGGAGGAGTCTCTCAGGGAAATATGTTTCTCTGGGACATGTTCTGAGATTAGTAAATAATTCTCCCTCCAATATGCCCTAGGCATTTTTCAAACTGCTGCTTCTATGCTGTATCTCCATGGGCTATTTGTTGTGCTATCTCTTTAAGGACAGGGACTCAGTTTCCTGTAACACACTGGGCTCTCCCAGAGCAGAGCCTACTAATTTTTAAAATTCCAGTCTTTAAGTCATGCTCGTTGTAAGAACTCATGAAATTCAGCCCCTCTTGCTTTCAGAGCCAAATGTTATGGGAATTCTTCCCCATGCAGGCTCACTGGTGTGACCATCTATTTCTGACCCTTCTCCATGCCCCTGGCTCCTCCCAACTGCAGACAGCCAGGACCCTTTTAGCTCGCCACCTCATCTTCATCTTTCCTATCCTCTTCCATGTGGTCTCTTCTTTACCTTTAGTTGTGGAGTTTCTTCTGTCTGTCTTTCGGTGGTTTTCTGTTATTTATGCTGATTTGAGCGTTACCATGGGACTAGGTGAGTTGAGGGTCCTTCTACTCTGCCATCTTCCCAGACTCCTACACTTATGTAAATTTCAAACATATCAAAGATTTTTTAAAGTGAAACTATATTTTTTATAATAAAATATGTAAATATTCTAAAACCTTGTTTTAAGAAGGCCTTTAAAAATGTGTCAGAAACCCAGAAATTAAGAAAGAAAAAAAAACCTTAAAATTTGACTGAATAGAAAATGAATAGAAAAAAACTTCACTATATCAAAAAACAAACAAAATACTATAAAATCAAAGATAAAAGATAAACAATAAAGAGAAAAGAGAAAACAAAGTAGAAGCAAATGGAACACATAACAAATAATTTTGTAGTATCCTAAGGTGCTTATTTTTAGTAATCAATAAAAACAAGATAGAAACTACTAGAAGAATGTGCACAAATAATTCTTCACAAAAGGGAAAAGATCAATAAACATACTTTTTCATATATATCAATAAGTATATACTTCTGTAGTATTTAAAGAATCCATAGCACATGTTTTATGAATATTTTGGGAAATCCCAGTACAATCAACAAATGGAAAGGATTTTCTTGTCAATAAGCCAGTGAAACTTAGTTGTCTCATTTTTCTAGCTTATGTGGTATTTATTCGGAATGTGGCCTCTTGATGTGGGGAAGGAATGGGATAAGACTAACAGTATCCTATATGATTTGCATGGAAATCTAAGAATGTCTTGGAATTTTCTAAATTTTATATATGAGACAATAATCTATTTATATTGAGATGTGTTTATAATTTTAATACAGAAATAAATGATCAACATTATTCAAAATATAATTTTTAATATACTTTCATGTTGATATTTATGCCTCAACCACTATGAAACTCAGACTATTATTAAAAAGAACCTTTCCCTCTTTCTTTACACTGAATTCAGACTCTTGCAGATCTTTCATAATTTCTGCTTTGAGATCAGGTGGTGCTGTTGTATTAAAGTTGCAGGTTTCTGTCAAAAAATCACAAAGCAGTTCTCCATTTTCATTGCCATCAACAAAACAATCAGATATGTCCATGGTGGACAGAAGGTCATAACACTCATACTTAATCCCCAATTTATCCAGAATCTGAGTGAGGTCAGATGATGTGACATACTGACAGAGGTCATCCTGAGGTAAGCGGGATCCATACTTTTTCCACAGCTTGTCCCAGCCACTGATTCCTGTGTGATAAAACAAAGTTCATGCTTTTACTTATTCTTCTTCTCATTTCTCTTCTCTGCCGGGAAGTATACTACATGCTTAGAATAAAGCAGCCAATAAAGAAATATTCTTGCCTTTGAGTAACTTAATTTAAAAGGTGCACAGCAGGGGGAAAGAAAGTTAAATACACAAGTAAATAAATCACATATCAGATGGTGCTAAGTGCTAATGAAAAACAAATCAGAACAAGGAATAAGGAGGGTTAAAGAGTTAGATGGGTTGCTGTTTATATAGAGTGGTCACAGAAAGTCTCTGTAATAATGTGACATTTGAGCAGAGATATGAGAACAAGCCATGTAGGTATCAGAGGGAAGAATACCTTAGGTACAGAAAAGAGCAACTACAAAGGCTCTGATGCAGGAGCATGCTTGTCATGTTAAGAACTAGCCAGGAAACCAGTGAGGTTGGAATTCAGTGAGCAAAAGGGAGAATAGAAGAAGATAAGGATGGATGAGTGGTGGGGAAGTAGATAGGGTGCCATATCGCGTGGGATGAGATGGGAAGCCATTGTAGAGTTGTCTGAAATAACTTTCTGGATCGATGAACATATTCTATATCTGCATTGTCCAATATGGTAGCCACTAACCATCTGTGGCTAAGGAACATTTGAACTGTGGCTAGTATGACCAAGAAAATGAATTTTAAGCTTTACTTCATTGCAATTCATTTACATATCAATTTCAATAGCCAAATGTGGCTTTTATACTGGACAACACAACATTAGATTGACTTAACCTGATTTACATTTTAATAAGGTTACTTAGTCACACAGATGAGAATAGACCATAGGGCCATAAGGGCAGAAACAGGGAGAACAGTAAGGAGGTTATGGAAATAATCTGGGTGACAGATGATGGCAAATTGGAGCAGCTAGCTTTTGGAGGTGATGAGAAGTGGTTGGATTTCTTATATATTATGCTCCTAGATCCAGTGAGATTTGCCAACAATTTGGATATTGGGTGTGAGTGAAAACAGAGTCAGTGGCCCCAATGATTTTGCCCCAAGTACCTGAAAAGAGAGAATTGCCATTATTGGAAATGGGAAGAATGAGATAGGAGCAGTTTTAAATGTATCATCAGGTGTCAAGTTTTGGAAATGTAAATATGAGATATCTATTGATACCTCTTGGACATTCCAGCAGTGATAAGAAGGAGGCAGTGGTTTATGTGAGTCTTGAGTTCAGAGGAGAGGATCTAAGAGTAAGAACTGAAACAGAGAGAAAGAGCAGAATAAATACAATGATAATTTTCTCAAACAAAAAATGGGGTAGCCGCTCATGTCTCCACTTATAAAATGCTGCCTTGCACTGCCAATAAATAGGCTGATTCTTACAAATTTTGTTCCCAGCTTTAGAAGATGTTTTAGCAATGTCTACTGTGTTTAATTGAAAACCCAGCCCAGTGTAGAAGCTAAGAGAAGCAGCCTCTGAGGGAGAGAGACACAGGTTGGAATGTACTTCTGACACTTCATGAAGAGATGAGATTTGTTATTTAGTCTCTGAGAACCTCAGTTTTCTGATCTATAAAGTGGGGATAACCATACTTACCTCAAATGCAACTGCAAGTATTAAATGAGATAATTTAAGTGAATTGTTATACAATGCTAAGCACATGGCAGATGGATAATAAATACTTATAAATGAACATTATATGGAATTAGTTTGATAATATATTTTCACTGGTTGTAATCTTGAGACTGTGAAAAAGCAAACTTGCTGTTTAGAAATCTATAATACTACTACATCAACACAAATGAGCAGCTGTTTGTGGACCCTCTAATACATGCATATAATAATGGGATGTTACATACACAGTTGATACAGTGTAGTAAGTAAGAGGGTCTCTAAAGCCAACTGCTTAAGTAGGAAGCCTGACTTTTCCTCTGACTAGCTCTATGAAACTTTTCCTCAGTTTTATCACCTGCAAAACAGGGATAACAATAGAATTTTTGCATAGAATTAGGGCAAGAAAAAGTAAAGGAACTAAGAACCATGACTGGCACACGTAGTAAATAAACATTGTTCAAGTATTGGGAAATTAAGTTGGACTTGGCAAAGCAATGTAAGAGGGAACCTATATTCCAGGATTAATAGTGAAGATTTCAAAGGCTTGACATTTTTTTGGTTCCCAAACCTCTTTTATGGTCTAATGAAGTAACTGACTCTCCAGCAAAGTACACAAACAATAAATACCTATACAGTTATGCATATGATTATTGGATGCCCAAAGACCCCTGGCCCTCATCCATGGATTGGGCTAAAGTCTCCTGATTGAACTCAACAAAACAGACTATCCAAGGCAGAAAAGGGTAAAATTTAAATAGCTTAGATAATTGACATTCTACCAATATTTCAGAGGGAGCGATAACTTCAGGGTATGCTCTAGAAGGTAAAATTGGAATGAAGCAGAAAAAACAAAACCTCAGTCCAGTGAAAAATAATAGGGTCATGAGTATGTATTAAAAAATCTTTCATTACAAAGACAATGATTATCTGCCCAAATAAGAATATGCCTACAAATAAGACTTTACAAGAAAATAAATATTTCAATGAATTGAAAAGAAGCTCTATTATCATTATTATTTTTATTTTTAAGCTGACAGAGAAAAAAAATAACCAAATACTGATTGCAGAAAATTTACTGGTGTCAGTGTTGTGTGACTTGGTGCCATTTCTGAGCTGAGCAATTATACACTTTCTAACTGATGCATTATCATAATGGCTGTCAGTGGGCACAACATATGGTGCTATTTTTGTTTCCAACATGATATAAACCAGATTCTTTTTTCTCATTCTATTAAAAATAACACACCATGTTTGCCTCCTTCCTCAGTCAGGTAAGGAGAGGGGAGAACAAAAAACCAGTGTCTCCTTCTGGCTAAACCCCCTTAACCAGAAAAGTTGCATTTTAACTAGCAACTCTCAAAACTAATGCCTGGCTACTACATTTGCAGAAAAACATGCTACGACTGATATCATTTTAGTGTGAGACACTCATTTTAAAAATCCACCTCATTTGTCCTTATCTCTCTTCCTTTTCATCCCCAAATCAAATCTTTTATCTTTATATAATCAGGAACTTCTGCTTGTTATAATTAAATGAATATTTACCGAGCTGGGCTAGTTCTGTAACTGATACTTCCAAATACAGAGAAAAGCCTCTCTTCCCTCAAGCAACATGTATTCTAACAGTAAATGCTGTCATTTAATTCTGATTTCAATTTCTCTGTCTTTTCCTAATGAGTTTTATTTGCCTACTCTTCATCGCTTTTCTCTGCCTATTCCAGCATGCACTTTAGTGTGTGTGCGTGTCTGTGTGCATGTGTATCTTCTTTATTGAGTCTTTTACTCCTGTTTATTAAACCTATCTTCAAATCTCCAGAACTTTCTATGTTCTCTGATTCCAAGTCCATCATGTAGTTTTAGCCAAAACATGCTCTTTTTTTAGACACATTCAGAACTAGTAGTTTAGAATATTATAAGGCAGAAATAATAAATGATTATAAAATAATTTATTCAGTTCAATTCAAATATCTATTGGGTGTGTTCTAGGTTCCAAAGAGATGAGAAGCAGAATGCCTGCTCTCAAGGAGCTCTCTTTAAATTCCTTGTATGCCTCTGATAAGAAACTTAGCACACTGCTCCAAGTGTTTACATGCCTCAATCCTCCACTACATAGGAGCCGTTCAAAAGCAGAGGAAAAGTAATAGTCATCTGCATCCTACAGAGCCTAGCAGTGACTGACTGTAGAAGCTCAAGAAAAGCTGAATGAATCAAATCTACAAAACAGCTATCCTATGCAGACAACATGGACTGAGAGTACAGGCTGTGTACTGTTTTCAATATGGCTGAACACACATGGTATCTAGGTACACGTGGTACACATGGAACATAGAGCCAACCTAGGTTTCTGCATAATTCTGGAAACTGACCCCATATTTCATTATCTTATGATTAATAAATTGTAAAAATGAGTGTCCATATGGTACTCAAATAACAGTAATTCAGTCTATTCAGAGAAATAACTTGTCAATTCAGTAATAGGTCAGTGTCTGAGATGGACAGGAAAGAGCCTCAGCTATGTGGCACATTTAAGATGACCCTTTAGAGCAAGATGGTAATCCAGACATACTATTATCTACCTAGATATTAGCTAGATGAGTGTTCCTGGAAATTTAATTTAGTAACTAGTTCTAGGTTTGTCTGAATCGTCTACAATGAGCACCCAGTTTTCTGCATTGAAGTGTAGCTATGGATGACAATGCTGCCCTGAAACAAAGCTTTCTTCCCAAACAGGTTTCTGCACTTCTAGGTAATTATGAAGCAAATTCCACCCAGAAAGTGACTGCAAGAGGCTTGATAAGAACAGAGCTTAGTGTGAACCATTTTGGTATATGTGTTCCAAGTTTTAGGGCAATATTCAAGTTTAAGGAATGTTTTCATGAGGTAAACATGGAGAAGGGGGTTTCAAGGATTATAGTTTGAGCTGAGAAGGCAGTTTAGGGCAATGGTTTTCATACGGGGTGAAGGGGGAAGTTGCTCAGGTACCTCATATGATCCAGGAAGCATTCTCAAACTTGGTTGCTAGCTACAGACTGGTCTGGGCAGACAGGGATTTGAAGTGATATCAGCAAATGAAAAAATGAACAATAAAAATGTAGATCAATCCTATACATGTTAATTGACAAGGATATAAGGCAAATCTGATTGCAAATTTCTTGTGATTCAATTTGTTTTTTCTGTTGGAAACTGGCCATGATCTATTTTTCTAAAAGCTGATCCATATATTCGTAGTGACTTTGTTAATGCAACAAAGAAAATATTGCTATTCTTTAAAAAGGAAACTGCAGCCACTTCCATACACTGAGGGGCAATACAGTTTATCCTGGGGAAATATACTGTGGCTAAGACAGGTTCATAGGTGCACAGGTTCACCCAGGTGAAAGAGGTAGATCAAAAGGAAGTTAAACTGCTCCAAGGAACAAATAAGAGGGATGGAAGGGCAAAAGTGAGGAGTTGGTATCTTAGGAAAAGTAGTGAGCTAAGAGGATATGGGCGAGGTCTGGGAGAAGTTACGAGTAGGTGCAAGGGAGAAGGGCACCGCTGAGCAGGAGAAAAGCTAGGAAAAGAGTGACTGTGGGACTTTGCACTAAGTTCTGTACCTGCTGTCCTTCTACTCCATCAGTCTTGCCATCTCCCAAAAATCAAAGAATGGTGCTTTCGAGAATGAAGGAAGTAGGGCTATGTCTATGTTTGGAGCAAAGCAGAACAGGATAAGAAAAGGCAGCTGAAAGACATGCAAGGTTTGGAGATAGGAAATCAAAAATTGAACTGGCAGCAGAAGTTTGGGGCAAACAGTGGTTGGCAACCATCAGGAGCATGTAAGCATGACCCCCAAGATCCTCAGGAGTCATGGGGAGAGGGATGGATGACCCAAGTTACTTGGGATAAGGGATCCCATCATTTTTTCTGGATTTGTAAGAGTTATAAGTGATCCCCTAAGACTGAGGAATCTGGAGACATTCAGTTTATACTAAACTGATGACAAGATCAACATATTTGACAATTTTATTTACCTTTTCAAGTAGAATATTTTCTTTTCTGGAAAGGAAACTGTATTGAACTAGGTGGCTTATTTTTTATTACATATATTTAATTAATTTATTTCCTTAATAACTCTTCTGATAGAGGCAATAAAGCTGTAACTTTTAGCCTTAGGAGATAATTGGAAAGTCCAAAATAAAATGCCTAAATGTATCTTCTCCTTTTGTTAAGTGGTTCTTTAAGAAGAAATGTATGTATGATATTTCTCTTGTAGCTGCACAAATCTCTTCTAAGAAAAGTGCATGTGATAAAGGCAGGGGGTCATTAGAGGCCCTTTAATAATTGGACATTTGTTATTTTTTGCATTCTTACGTGTAGGAACAATGTCTATGAACAATGTTGTCCTCTTTGGGATACCTCTCTCCCATGCTGAGTACAGTAATGAAGAGTTTTTTACTGTATACAGAAAAAGTTAGCAAAATATTTCCACCATCAAACTACATTGACTGAATATCTTTTGAGTCAAAATACTTTTTAAGAAAAAGCTAATTGATATTTGAGTCTTTACTCCCTTTCTTTGCTTTTTCCCTGTGAATGTATATATACATAGTATATATACATAGTACATATGAACCACATATATGCATAGATGCAATGTAATGTAGGTGTGATTATCTAGAAATAGCCCTTGAATAAACTAAGACTCATAGATCAAGTTCACACAGCTAGGAAATGCCTCAGCATTCTTGCTGCATGTATCACCATATATTTCACTGTGCCTCTTTTGGTTTGAACATTTCTTGATACTAATAAACCATGGATTCTATTAATATAATTCATGAGATAGCCAGTGGAATACTGTATTCATAAGGGTACTTAGTTCTCAGTTGTTTGTAGACTATTCGTGTCAAACCTTAGACTGGCTTTTTCCTCTTGGTAGAAATATACTCATAGAAAACTGCTTTCTGACACTGAAATACTTAACTTCTGAAAATATTTAAGAATAAACCAAATATAAGAAGGAGGGGATCTTCTATTGATATGAAATATATCCTAAAATCAGACATACATGATTTCTGGATAAACTGTTATTTCTATTGGTAACACTTTTTCTTTATTATTGATACAGATTATTAAGAATAGACTGCCCTCATTGGTAACAACTAAGTTGTCTTTTGTATTCCTAAATGTAGCATAATGGCTTTACCCAAGTGTCTTAATTTAGACAGAGGTTAGTAGGAAGCATCCAGTTTACATAAGCCCTTCTAAATGGGAAAACAGAACTCTACCACATGAGTATTTTTAATTAACTAGAGATAAAAATAGTATATCAAAATGTTCCTTTAGGGAAGAGGTTGTGTACAGGAACTCTCATTTGCAAAAACTCCCACATGAGTTCAACTCTAGAATTATAGGTAACAACCCTATTTGCCATCCTTAAAGTCATTTCTCATATTTAAGAATTGATGAATTTTGTGACATATGGTTTTGAGTAAGGGGTCTGGTATATACTTAGGAAGATAGAGACTGTTGTATATCTAGAATCAATCTGCCTAGCACTGTGTAGACAATCCACGAAGATTGCTGAATGAAAGAAGTAGTGAATTAATGAACTCAGCAATGTCAGTGTTTCATTATTAGCATGTTGACTTCTCTATGTGGTACTTATTATATAGTGGAAGCAACATGACATGATCAAATGCCCTCTTTGGAAAATACAAAACAAGTGAACAATTTTTGGTAGTTATTTGAGAAAATCTACCATGAACAATATTGATAATGGCTCTAGAAATGCAAATTAATCAAATATGAAGGCATCCCAAATATTTAAACCTTTATTTATATATAGTAAACATCACAGAAAGGGAAGAGACATTCAAGAAGCAAAAAGGAGGTAAACAGAAATATTTGCTGTTTTTGGCCTCATTAAAAAAAATTCCTATTAGTGGTATTTGCTCTATGTCATATAAAAAATAATTTATATATAGACAACAAAGATAAATTTTCCCCAGAGAAAGAAGTAATTAGACATTTAATTCCACTAGACCCCCTAAATTGATAGCTGTTATGAAGGACTTTCCTAATACTGTGTTTATTAATTGACTACGATCAGAAGCCAAGTCAAGAATTTCATAATGAAGACCAAATATAGCAGGCTGCCTTCGAACACATATATCCAAGCACATATGCACTATTATTGTTTTAAAATTCAGGGTGAATATAAATAATTTACCTGACACAAGAATAATGAGCATCTTAGCGTTGGTAGCTAAGAGACTATGGAAGAATTTCAGGGTAGCTGGGATATCTTTTACATAATACAGCATCTAGAAATGAAAGAAAAGAGAGATTAGACACTTTTCTATGTCAATGTCTTTGTTACTTGGGCTAGATAGTCATCAGAAAGTTTGATTTTCAAGTTGAGAGTTTTACTCAACAAAACACTTTAAGAATTTAAAAATTAAAGATGTTATATGGAGAAAGAAAGTAATAATGTGATAAAATATTTGAGAAAAGGGAAAACTATGGTATTTGCTCAATTACAGCCAAATAGTTTTAAATTTACTCTTTCTGACTTCAATAACAGAGACATTTATAGCTGGAGATACTTAGTCTCCACTCCACATTGGGGCATCGATTCTATGCTTACTCTACATTTTGTGAATTATAGTTCTTCTGGGAGAAGATGGTGCTGGCACCAAAAAAACAGACCCCATTTCATGGAACATTGCTTTAAAATTAAGGCCCTTGTACCAGCTTTACCATATGCTCACAGATGCTTTTTTTAAATCACAGAAAATATGGCAGGCTCTGATGTTGACAGATTCTCTAGGAAAATGGACTGAATAAAGCATGAGGTTACATACTTGGTCACAAGGTGCTAGGGGTCAACCCACCCCTTTTTAATAACTCTGGACCATCTCTGATGGAGTTCAGGGAAAGGCCTTTCCACTCAACACAGGCAGAGCCTAGAATTATACATTGGCAGTGGAAAATTTTCCTTAATGGCTTGCATCCCTGGAATCTACCCCCATAGATACTTACTTCTTAAATCTCATCTCCATCTCTCTTGGGCAATAATTTAATATTCTATGTAGATGCCCATGATAGAATTTTTTGCATTAAGCAAACACAACTTAAACTACGCCCCTTTCACATGAATGAATGAAATAAAATGGAGCTGCACATGGCCTATGCTGCTTCGGGACCATATTTAGTATCATGTCATCCCATGCTGTTCATGACAGAGATAGGTACCCAGATACATAATCCATAAGATGGCTAACAGCCTATGATGTGACCTGGCTAAAAAAGAGGAGGTGGGCCAGAAGAGATGCTCTGAAATTTGATCTAATAGATACTGAGATTCTCTGAAGTTGACTGTGAACATTAAGTTGAAAGAATGTCATGAGAGTGTTAAGACTATAAGGAACAATGAAGAGACAAAGATATAACATAGGGAAAATGTATCCTAGACAGGGAGGAAGATAGGGGAATAGAATAGTAATGCAGAGGAAGCAGAGTTGCTCTAAGAAAGAAGGAAGATACATGGAAATTTTGAGAGAAATAGAAGAATGATCTCTGAAGATGCGACATTTTATAACAGGTAAAGAATGGGATCCAGAGTACAAGTGGAGGGACAGGTTTTTGATAAAAGGAGGCTTTTGTAATTAGATGAAAGAGATGTTGGGTACAGATGCAGCTGTGTTTATAAATTTGGAGGGTGAAAGATGACTTTCCGTCTGATGATTTCTCTTTTTGCTATACAGTATGAAGTGAGGTCATCAGCTGGGAATGAGTGGTGGTGGAGGGGTTACAGGAAGTGTAAGGAGAGAGAAGGAGGTATGAAATAGTTAATATGAGGAGGGAAGAAATTAAGTCTAATAGAGAAACAATATAGGCTTGATGGACAATTTAAGTACTCTCTTACAGGTAAATGATTTTGTCAGCTAGGAAAGCAGAGGTGTAGGATTGCTTGGATAACTAATGTTGGAGTCATTTCTTCCTTTGATTTCTTGTAAGTTTATTCCTTTGGGATGACTGCACTTGTGGACTGTGGAAAGATGTCTCTTACTGTTAATATTGGTATTTCTAAAATATACACATTTTCTGATGGTAGACAACACCCAAAGTCCATACACTCATATGCTATCCAGAAATATCAGTGATTCTCATAAATCCGTCCCCATAACATCTAATGAATGGTCACCCCCTTTCCAAGAAACCCTCCAGTGTATTTCTAAGAAATACACTATCAGTGCTGGATCATGGAAATAAATTCCTACTGAATGACTGACTGATATTGGTAATCTTTATCGACCTAAGAATGATCTAACCTGCCCCTTCTGCCACATGCACACCAGCCAGGTCATCAACAGAAGGGAAAGAAAGGATTCAGAAAAACTCTGGGACATCAGTCCATCCAGACCATTAGAGCTGTGCTAGAATATGTTAACACTCTACTGCCCTCAAAACTATCTATGAACTTCCAATCCTACAAAAATTAATTAAGCCAACATTGAAAAAAAATCAGTAACTGAAGGTGTTTGAGTATAAAAAAATTGGCTTTTTGAATGTTACAGAGAATCTCTCAGTACTATCAACATCTTTATCCTCAATCTGGACAGATAATGTTCACTTATAAAATCAGAAACCAGATTTTCATTTTTCTTCCTAAAGGTAGAATATTAGGCATTCTTCATACATATTTCTGAAAAAAAAAATCTTTCTGAGAATATATAACAATAAATATTTCTTACCTGAATCATATGAATAAAGTCCCACTTCTGAAATTCTTTTTTCTCTATGATTCTATTTTGATATTCAGATGATGTCTCCTTATGCCAAGCAAACTTTATGTTCTCGAGGTTCGATGTCTTGGCTACAAGCTCTAAAATATAGAAAAGAGATGGCACACCAACAATTTTAATTGCAAATGCAGAATCCATTTCCATTTCGAATTTTAATGCAATCAATGTTATATACATAACAGATATAAAGCACATTTTTCTTTTTTATGTGGCTCTGGAAGACCAGAGAGTTCATCCTGATATTTTTTTTCTAGTAGTAAATGAAATTAGAGATGAAAGAAAGAGTCAATAAGAAATAATTATGAGAACCCTGATCAGACATTGGTTACATTATCTCAGTATTAATGGGGAATCAACTGGTGAATTTTATCAGTGGAAAACAAATGATATGATTCTGTAACCCAGGAGCCAGCAGACCATGGCCCATGGACCATATCTGGCTCGCCACCTATTTCTAAATAGACTGAAAGCTAAAAACATACTATTTCACTTCCTGACTTTATGCCTTTCATATCTTATGCTGTTAGATTTTTAAATGGTTAAAAAAATCAAAAGAATAACATTTGATGATATGTGAAAATGATATAAAAGTCAAACTTTTGTGTTTATAAAGTTTTATTGGAACATATGAACACTCAGTTTATCAGCATCATCTTTGACTGCCTTGGTGCTACCATAGGAAAGTTGATTGGTTGTGAGAGAGATTGTGTGGCCTAAAAAATATTTACAGTGTGTGTTTTTTCAGAGAAGTTTGCTGACTCCTGCTATAATCCATTAAACATAAACCCTTTAAGAGCAAGGATTCTGTTTAAATATTTCTGAATGAATTAATGACTCTGTCTCTAAGAATAAACATCAGAAATAATAGCTGATGACCAGGGAATAGAGGAGTCAGTAAAAAAAGAAATCTAATTATTCACTGTTCGTATTTCTGAGGTGTTAGTCATGTCTGCCAAGAAAACAAATTAAATATCTTATTTTCCCAATAAGCTTATAAAGAACATACCCTAGTGACTATGTTGTTAATGACTGAGGGGACAAATTTGGGATGATAAGCCTTTTAGGATAGGATTTGACATAGAGCACCATGGGTTACAGGTACCTTTGTACTTGGCAATTTGCTCAGCACTTGGCTCAACAACTTCATTGTTGATATGAATTCCTGGATATTGAATCTGCACTTTGGAAAGAATTTGAAGATCAATTTCACCTAGAAGACAAGTATATGGAATATATAATGTAAGTCCAGAAAGAAATGATTAAGAATAATTTGAGGTAGTATATTATGTCTTACTTGTACTAGGAAAACCCAACATAAAGAATAATGCTCAACTGTTGCCCTGCCATGTTGTCTATGATGCAGAACAGGTAGGTTGTAAGTAGGAATAATAATATGACTTGAGGAGGGCTATAATTGTTATTCCTTCCTTCATTCATATAACCTTTATTTATTTTCTATTACCATATTATGTTAAATCTAAGATGCCATTGATTCTAGGACTCGGTCAACTCTTCTTTTTGTATCACTAGATCAGAAAAAAACACTGTCAATTATAATTTTAAGATTCCATCAACTGAAAGATGTATCCCAAATTCAGAAATGTTAAAATATGAAAAAAAGCACCTGAGAATTGATAAACTAGGCTAGGCCAGAAGCATATAAAAATATGTCAGAAGAAAAATATGTTAGGTACAAAAAAAAAAAGATTAAAAAGGTGTCAGACATTCACTTTCAAATACACCATGGTCTAGTGGAAGACACAGGCATGAAAGGAACCCTGTCAGGTTGGGCCATGGTGGGGAGAGGAAAGGAGACAGTGAGGAAAAGGAAGGAGGAGAGGTCAGAGAAAGGGAAAGCCTTATGGAGGGAGACCCTCCTTGAGCTCTGTGTTACAGGGTAAGTGGAAGTTAGCTCAGAGACTTCTGGGAAAATGAGGAATTGCAGGCAGATAGGACACGAAGATAGAGACATGAAGTCAGGGAACAGAACGGTATATATGGACTACTGGCACTTCAGAATTTTGGAATATTCGACAAGGCAGGCATCCAAGCAAAAGGTGATTCCAGTGAGGTAAAATGGAAAGGAGGTTATGGTAGAATAGATATGTATTCATTAATTCATGCACCAACAATTAATTGCATACTATGTGTCCAGCACTTCACTAGGCTCTAGCAAATAATGTTAGGAAGAGCACAAAGATACCTGCCCTGATGAAAACTTACCATGTAAATGATTGAGTGAGAGAGATGGTGATAAGTTTGATGGGTTTGAGTTCCAAACCTGTCTTCTCCACTTACTAGGTGTGTATAACTTTTAGCAATTTGCTTTACCTCTCCAAGCTGTATTTTCCTCATCAGAAAAATAGCAATAATGATAGCACATAATTTATTAATTGTGAGGGTTCAGTGAGAAAATGCAATATAAAACTCAGTGTAAAATAGACACTCAATAAATAGTAGCTTTTCATTAGTTTTATTGCTTTCATTGAAAATAAAAATATCTCCTCTGTCCCTATTGCTGATGTCTCCAACTTAAGTTCTGCAATTTTATTCTCTAAGGTTATGATGTTTACCTTTACTAAAATAGATCTATGTGCTGGCAAGACTAGCCTATGAAAATGATGTTAGTCTTTAACATTTTGGTATAAATGACATTAACAGAACCTCTACAAGGTTGGATATGGCAGGCAACAAAAGCATAAGTCATAAGACTAGAAGGTCTGGAAGAAAGGAAGTGAGGAAGATAAATCAGGAACAAAAGATGCTAGACTAGGAAAAAGGGCAGTCAAACAGCACCGTGAGAGCCCCAAGTGCTGGTAATAGGAGCTGGTGGGGATGGGGAGGGGAAGAAGTGGAAAGGAAGCTGAAATGGAGGATAAAGGAACTTATGTGACAATTTTCTGGCCTCACCAACATGAAAACTTTTATACTTTCTGTAATAACTCTAGCTGCCACTTTTTGGCCACCTACTATTTGTCAAACACTGTGCTCGGCACTACTTGGATCATCTCACTTAATCCTGACAACAAAGTTATCACAAACTCTGCAATATTATTCCCAACCAGATAAGCTGATTAAAGTAATTTGACACTCAGGAGATATTAATATGCCTAAAGTTTAAGGCACATTTTTCTGACTCTAAAGAGTTTGTTCTTCTAACTACTTCATACTAAGAAATAGGAAGATACCAAATACTAAAAGGGCATAAGAAGTTTTTTTTTCCTTCTTTGCAGTAATTATTTTTAAATGACAAAAAAATAATAATTACTAGGGCAAAAGGCTGATAAAGAAAAGCTGTGGACTAATGAGAAATAGATTCCAGCTTGCCCCAAAGGGCCAGAGGCCAGAAATTCTATTCTTGCCTCTATCAACATTTTAAGACAGAGAGAGCATGTGAGCAGGGAGGGGAAGGACAGAATGAGAGGGAAAGAGGGAAAGAGAGAATCTTAAGCAGGCTCCATGCCCAGCTGAGAGCTTGATCCAGTTCTCAAACTCACAACCCTGGGACCATGACCAAGAGTCAGACACTTAACCAACTGAGCCACCCAGGCATCCCCAACCTAGGCATATATTTTAAACAAAAAAAGTCATCATTTCTGAGGATCCCAAATCCAACATTTTGAAACTCAGAAGGTTGCAATAATTTTCTCCTTGGGGCTTGATGAGGTCTTCTTCCCCTAAGACGAACCCCAACATTTTGGATCTGCCCAGATGGCAGAATGTATCTAGCACAGCCCCAAGGTATATTCCAATATTGTTATTTTCCCAACCAGCAGAATGTTCTACCACAGTCAGAGCCAGCCAGTCCCTCTTTTTAGGGTAATGATGGAGGGCACAGTATTAGAATAGCACCTGAGACATGGAAACCATGGGTTTACTAACAACCTCTGGACTGTGAGTCCATGTATGGACATAAACCCTCTGTGCATTCTCTGCTGGATCCCTAGCAGAAAGGAATGAGCAACAGAAGGAGATAATGAAACTATTTCATCAGGAATTAGCACATAAAATCCATTTCTGTCTTCATAAGTTGAGTAACCACACTTCCTGTTTGCCAGGGACAGGTATACTTTATGCTTGTTGTGCTGGTGTCCCATCTGGTTTTATTCTTGTCCTTTAATTTTTAACCAAATATTATTATTAGAATATTATTTTTGCAAATAGTTTTTAATAACTATTTTATAAATTGACCAATATAATAAAAACCTGTTTGATAAATAAATATTTTTTAAATTATAATTTTAATTATTTACCCACTTCCTACAACTCTCACTCTTTAAAAAAAAAAGATTTATTTATTTTAGGGAGAAAGAGAGTGGGGGGAGGGGCAGAGGGAGAGGGAGAGAGAATCCTCAAGCAGACTCCCCACTAAGTGTGGGACCTGATGCAGGGCTCAATCCCAGGACCCTGAGATCATGACCTGAGCCAAAATCAAGAGTCCGATGCTCAACTCACTGATCCATCCAGGTGCCCCTATAGCTCTCACTCTTAAAAGTATTCTGGGTTTGACAATAAATAATGCCACCATGCTTATGAGACACTTATTCTCACATGCTATGTTTATTATTTATATTTATATTATATATATTATTTATAATGGACTATATTATTTCTTATTGTAATAGATTAGATGATAGATAGATGATACATGGATAGATAGATGATACATAGATAGATGATAGGTAATAGATAGATGTAGAGGTCACTCAAAATATAATACATTCCTTGTTCTCATACCCTACATAGTTTGCTTTCTAGTATCCCTCAGAAATAGGAGACATGCATTTAAAAAAATGATTTATGTGAACACCTTCCTCAACAAAAAGAGAATAATAAAGAGGTAGTTCAGATGTTCTATAGTATTATGTCCTATAGTCTAGCCTAAACATCTAGCATTTAGTTATAAATATATTTTTTAGTACATTACCTATACTGTTCACTATCCATCCAGTCTCCCAAGCTTAGCTCCTTCCTTCTTTCTCCTTCTCTAGCCATGCATAAATTTTCCTCCTAAATGTTTCTTACTTTTTTCCATTCCTATTAGCAATCCTTGCTCAGGCCCAAATTATCTATGTCTTGGAATTCTGCAAAAATACCCTAAAAATTCACCCTATCTTTGCTGAACTTTGTCCCCCAAAGCCATCACTACAACAGTCATTCAAAACTCTAAGCTAAGCAAGCCCATCGCTTCCCTGCTTAAAACCTTCTGACTAATCAACTAGATAAAGTCCAAGCTCTTAAACTGAGCATAGACCACTCTGCCTGCTTCCTGTTATCTCTCACAGCTTCATATTTTGAAACTTTTGGCTCCAGGAACCTTGAATTTCTTGCATTTTTACCGTTCTTTCTCCCCCACTGCCCTCCACATACACCATGTTCTTCTGTGCTTTTTTTTGTCTTCTGCCAGGAATTGTCTCCCCTCACTTCCTTACCTCATCTAACTCCAACACATCTTGAACTATTCTACATATGACTGATTACCTTGGTAGTCTTTCCCACAGAGCCTGGAAGTAACACTAAAATCCTTCAGACAGAAACTACCCATCAATTGACTGGAGTTGGCAACACAGATAAAACCTTGTGTTCCCTAATCTAAATTATTGCTTTACTTCACTTATTTTATTCACTAGCAAAGACTTGATTCTAATGAGTTTATTAAAAAGTATCAAGGACTCTAAAATGCTAGATTGAACAACTGAGCAGGTTTGATCATCAATCACTGAAAAGCATGTGAGGGGTTATCTGAACTGTAGTACTGTGAGCCAGCAATGAGAGATTCAAACAAACAAACAAAAAACAAAAACTAAAAAAAGAAAGAAAAAAAAAAGGAAGGAGACCATTTGTTCTTTCTTTCTCAACTGAATCTTCCTTAGTAGGAGCCATAACATTATGAATGTGTTCCACTATCAGACATTAAGCACCCTATAAATGCTTTTAGCACACAAGCCAAACTAATGTGCCAAAAGAATGGGAGAAAGTAAACTAGAAATGAATAGATCAAATAATTCAGAAATGCTCAGCAAGTTCAGAGGTAAACAAAAGAAATGTGGAAGCCAGCACTTTTATTGTACTTTGCAAATCCTCCTGGAAATCCTAACTTTGAGATCCAAGAAAACAGCATTTAAGGGGAAAAAGGCAATACATGTTTATCTCAAAGTCAGTCTCTTTTTACATACGATCTCTTATTAGGCATTGCTTGATCATAATTCT